ATGATATATTGGAGGAAATTAAAATTTTTTATTGGTAGAGAAAAAACATATTTTTACGGTATTCTTTTCTCATGAATTTGAAGTCATGTTTACAGTACCAAAGAGTATCTAGAAAAAAAATAATGTCTAACTTACAACAAAATGTCAGGTTCAAGGGTCCTTAGTTATGTTTATTAAAAGAAAATACTCGACTAAATGTATAACAAAAACAAGTTGCCAAACAGACTTTTCTAACTTAGTGTTTACCTTGAATACAATTTTTATTTTTTAGCATTAATTAATCAACACAAGATTTTTGCTTCAGCTATATTTTCAAGCGTTTTTCACTCACTCATATGCATTGTGTTTTTACCTAGTTATATTGATTAAATTGTTGGGAATTTCGAGCACCACAATCCCACATAAACAGAAGCGATAAAGAAATTGAGACAATAATTTAACGTGGTTCGACTTGCACGCCTCTCAACAAGTCTACGTCCACAGGAAAGAGAGAAATAAATCCATTATTAAGAAAAAGAGTACAATAATTTAGAAGCTCTCTCACTCAAGAAGCACTCAACACCCTAGTTTCAATGTATAGAAGTTCCCAAATTCTCCAATGTATAGAAACTCCCAAATTCTCCCTAATACTCCCTCTTAATCTACACAAGGATTTCTCACAATTTCTCTCTTTCTTTTTCTCTCACAAGAGCTCTCCCTCAATTTCTCTTGCTTTCTCCTACTTTTGCTTGCCCATTGCCTTTGCATGCATGGGTATTTATAGTGAAAAATCCAACCACCCATGCACCATTTTTCTTTGCCTCATTACTACCCGTCCATGATTTTCTTTGTTCATTAAATGGCTCAACATGCAATCTTGCATGATTTCAACAAAGCAATCCTAGCCCACAACTAGCTAGGTTGGTGAAGCAAACTTCCACACAAAAAGTCTATGGGTTCACACATGGGGTTGGACTTTCTTCCAACATAAATGTCAATTTTTAATCTATAAATTTTACATTTTGAACACTTTTAGTTCTTAAAAGATTTTCAGCACTTTTTTGGTCCCTTTACTTTACATATTATATTTTTTTTGTTCTTCCATTAGTTAAGTGAAAATGTGAGCATTAACTCATTTTAAAAAATTAATGCAGCTGTTAACTCATTTAAAAAGTTATTTTCTTCAATATTTAATAACATGTCCATTATAAATGAGTCTTTTAGCAAAGTTGGACAAAACATAGTGTTTATGTTGCAATTTTAGTTTAAATAGACAAAATAATCAATTAAAAAAAAGTAAAAACTACCCATCAATTAATTTTTTTTACAAAATAAGATATTAAAACTTACAATTTGTTTAAAATACCTTTAAAAACTTGCTTAAATCCTCTTTTTAGTCTCTCAACTATAGTACAAACTCTTATTTTCATCTTCATCAAATTTCTTGCCCATCATAAGCATTTTTGAGGCACCATGAGTTCACATAAACTAATTTAATGACATGTCATTGTTACATCACAAAAAGTGTTATTTTAAATTAAGTTAACAGCGATAGCATAATTTAACTAACAGAAAGAAAAAAGAAATTTGTAAGGTTGATGACAAAAAAAGCTAAAATACTTTAGGAACCAAAAGCATTCAAAATGTAAAATTTAAAGATTAAAATTGACATTTAACCAATTATAATTTAAAAGCATGCCGCATTTGTTGTGGTGCATGGTTGCCCTATAATTATACTTTCTGCTTCTTTTTTTTATTTTTTATTTTTTTGTTTTTTGCACCTTAGCTCTCTTACTCTCCACCTAGCTCTATCGTCCTTGTCAACATTTTAATTGCCTTTTATTTTATTAATATAATTTTTTATAGAAATAAATAAATAAATACTATATGATATATTGGAGGAAATTAAAATATAGTTTTATCTGCACTCATGTTTTTTCAGAAACGTTTTGATTCTTAGAGATGTTCAAAGGAAGGAAACAAGATATTTTAGTTGATTCAGTGAAAAGCTTTTGCTTGAATGAAGGCTAGAAGACGAAAAGTTGTTTTTTCTTATAGTGATTGGTGTCAAATTACTTGAATTTGCCTTGAGGACATTGGCTAAGTTGCAATTAGGAGATTAAAGGAGTGTATCACAATCCTGATTATATTCGTTTATCACCAATTGAATGAACATTTTTAATAAATCAAACCCGATCAATCAAGTAACCTTTTTTAATGTTTGTCGATAAAATTAAAAGCTAAATCTTCTTCAGTCACATCTAAGCAATAAAGACCCTGAGTGAAGGGTTACAATTTTTTTTTTTTTTAATGTACTAGAATAGATGGTTCAAGACTTGTAAGTAAATGGGGTGGGGACGAAAGCACAAATTCAAACTTTTTGTCATGAGGGATGCAAGTTATTTTAAGCAATTTAGTTTTACATGATCTCAAATTAAATATTGAGTGGCCATGAGTTAATGGTACACTCATGACCCATCTGAGCCATTTTTTTCCAATTGCTTCGTGTTCATGTGGGTCGGTATGAAGATAACCCATCATCAGCTAATCATCTTTTATGGTTTAAGCTCTAACTTGTTGATGCTTCCATGAAGAAAAGCTTGTTTTTTCCGGCCCACTTGATAATGTGGAAGAAGACAAAATGGCATGCTATAAAAAAAAGGTAGAAACGAATAACATTTTTTGATCCAAAGTGCTGTCAAAGAATAGGATGCCTTTACCAACGCATATGCATCGCTCCTTTCTAACAAAAACGAAAAAAGAGAGAGAGAGAAAAAGACGAAGAAGAAAAATATCTTACACAGTCGTTTGATTAAAATTTCATGTTTAAAATTCTAAATAAAATAAGATTACTCACTAGTGAACAGCCCGCACGAATGCTTTTTATTTAATTAATTGGCTAACAGAGTTTTATTTATTTATTTATTTGAGTAATTGTAATTAATATCCAAGCTTGAATATATTAGCCTTTAGATTTTAGTGCTATTTGAGTCTCCATTGGAAGTTTAATTAATCATTGGTGTTCATAATGTTCACAGCTCAAAAGGAGAAATGTTCGGAAGAAAAAAAAAAATCCAAAAGGGAAAGAAATAAAAGAAGAGTTGTTAAATGGAGTTGTAAAATATAAATTATTAAATAAAAAATAATTTTAAATATTGAGAGATTTTTTTTATCTAATGTTTAATTTATACAATTTGATGGAGTTTAGACTGTAAAATATTTTTTTAATAAAAAAAAATCAAAGCCTTACTCTCTTGATAGCTGTCCATTTCATGTTAAAACTTTGAATATGCCAGTTATATATTAATTTATCATTTATCATGTAATTTGGTGGTAAAATACTTTTACTCTTAACTATAAATCTAAAATGCAATCTTAATTTTTACATACTAAAAAACAATAAAAAGAAGTTTATATTAATTTCCCTGGTATTTGGGTGGTCACTGGAATGGGCTTAATTTGGATCAGCCCAATCAGACAGGTTACGGGCCTTAGTTTTAAGGATCAAGGCTCCTCGGTTCAGTCCCGATCTTCTTTTTTTTTTGGGTAAATGATCAATTATAATTAGTGTACTACCCTAATCCTTCCAAAATACATAGTAACTTTTTTTAATACATTTTATTCTTAATTACTGCTCTTAGGCAACTTATTAATTAAATTTTAGAAATAACGTATATATTTACTTAGATTATCTTTAGAAAATAGATAAAAGGAATAGATAAAAGGAAAAATTTTAGTGATAAGGTATATAATTGAAATTAAGGGATAACAATAACTTTATATTAGAAATTTTTTTTTCTATTTATGATACATTATATGATAAATTATGTAATACGAAATAGCTTTTTTCTCACCCATTTCAAGTTTCAAATTTAAAATCTTTAATTTAAAGTTTTAAATTCCTGATCACTTAAGATACTTTATTAAAAACAAAAATATTCATTTGTCTTGAAAAATAAAAACAAAATGACAATTAATTTACTATAAATTTTGAGTAAAAAACAAATTGTTATTTTGGAATGAAGCTGAGGTGTTAATTGCAAATTGGGTGGAAAGTGATCTAGTTTGTTTCTTATCGATAAAAGTCAAATTTCCATTAACTAATTTTTCATAAATTCTTTAATTTAGAGATAAATAGATAACCTCTAATCAGATCAATGTTACATCACAAAAAGATTTACATTAATCGCCTCAAGATTAAAAGAAGATACAAGGAAGTTTCAATTGGAACTAAAAACAATTTAGTTGAGTTCAGACTTGATTTGATTCCAGGCTAATCCTAGGAAAAAATTGCAACCGGAAATTGAAGTTACAAATGAAAGGCAGGGTAGGTTGTTTTTTTTTTTTTTTTTTTTTCTTGTTTTTAAGCGAAAAGGAGAAAGTTGAAATTGCACATATTGTCGGCGAGGACTATGATGCATATACTGTTTTACTTTACTTTATTACCCTGATTTCTTTGACTATTTTCACAAAGCAAAAGTTGGGTATTAATTAAACTAGAAAATTGAGTACACATGAAGCATGCCGCAACTAAAGCCAATTAATATGGTCGCATTAACCTGAGAATTGGATTCACTGTAATAAAGGATCATTTTATAAATTAATTATGGGTATATTTGTCTTGTGCTCTTAGAGCACAAGATAAAGTCTATTAATTATGTAATAATTATTATTTTTATTTTAAAAAAATTAATTTTTTATTTTAATTATAAATATTACATGTTAGATTTTTATTGATTAATTTTAAATTAAAAATTATAATTTTTTTAATATAAAATTTTACTTTTTAAAAAAAATCATAATTATAACTTAATAATAATTTTTTATCTTGTATTTTCAAGATACAGTATAAACAAACCCATTAATTATAAAATTTAAACCTTAAATATTAATTTTTTTTAATATACAAAAATTAAGTAGGGATACATTTTTAAAATTAACTTAAAAAAATAGTTTCGAGTAAAAAAAAAAAAAATGGACAGCTTGCAGTGCAAACAAATATATATATAGCTGAATTCTCAAATGTGCGACCTAATTATTTATTAAATTTTTTAGATATCAATTTTAAAATTAATTTAAATATAATATTTACAACTGCTAAGCATACTAATTAAGTTATTAACCAACTGACGTGCTAAAAGGAACATAAATGAATTCGTGTCGGCTAACATTGTTTGGACGATAATTATGTTGAATAAATTAATCATTATAAGAAACACTAACATATTTTCTAAATCTTTTATATGAATTATTGGATACTAGCCAGACCATAACATTAACATTTTAAACAGGTTGTACCAAATCAAAATTTGAGATTATCAGGTCTTAGGATTCATATTAGCCCCAAAATGATGGATTTGGTTGCTGAGATATTTTCGCTTTGCACCTAATTGATTTAAGATATATTGTCCAACAAATTTGCAAGTTTTTATGTCAATAAAGTACTAATTCAGTTTGATAAGCATAAATTGACATGAAATATCACCTAATCGTAGAATTTAGAGCAAAACACCTAATAACATTAGTCTATGATTGGTGTTGGTCTTGTGGATGAAAAAGCCTTATTGCCGATTTTGTTTAATGAAATAGGAAAGGGAGGAGAGGCAAAATTACCATAACTAATCAAATTATTTCCTTAATTCCGTAACTTAATTTAATTAGTCGAAATAATACGCCCTTTCCTACCTTACCTTCCTTCAACCTAAACAAGCTATTAAGCATCCTAATTCCTAAATTCAGTGGTTTTGCTGCCACTTGAGGGAGTCATTGTCAACAGAGAAGAACATGTACATTTTTTAATTATTTTTTCCAGATAAGGTGGTATATCCCCTGCCTAAGTTACAACACATTTTCATTTCATCGGCAATCACGTTTGATTATTT